TTGGGGTGATGCAGGTGCACATGGGCACCTCAGCCCTGAGGCCTCCCCGGCATGGCCCATCCATCTTTTATTAAATACATGTACCCACTGTATGCACCTGCTTGGTGCCCAGCACCCCACTCGGGATAATCAGTGACCCTCCTTGGGGCCATCATCACTCTACCTTGAGGAAGAGACCTGGGCAGCAAAGAGTCTAGTGTGTACTGTCCGCCTGGCCCAGTGAGTGTGTGTCAGCCCATCACTGACTGCCGTTGGGCTGAGTCTCTCCTGGGAGGCCCTGAATCCCCAGACTTCCCACCACCACCTGGTTTCCTATCTCCTCTCCCCAACATCTCTGAGTTCTGTTGGGGACTCTGTTTACTGCTTCTTTTCTCTACTCATTTTGGCCTCTTTTGGAGGCTAACATAGGTGATTTCTGCAGGTTATGTGACCTTGTGGAGCTGGTGGGGAGCCACTCTTGGTCTCACCTGCCCCCTCCACTCTGAGCATCTTAAGGGCCTGGGAGCCTCTTCCTAGAGGTGGGTGTGGCCTGTTGTGGAGCTCATGGCCCCCTGGGCTTCTTCCCTTGTGATTCTGGACTCCTGAGCATGTGGGCTGGCAGAGTCCTTGTACGTGGGAAGGTGGCTACCTGGACAAAGAGGCTGGCTGGGCGACAAACTTGCCAGGGTGGTCCAGAATTCAGGCTCCACTCCAGCCCTGCTCCGCCATCAGATGGCCCCACCAAATACTGTGATCTCCAGGGCCTCCCCTACTCTCAAGCCCTTACCCACCATCCCCATTAAATTGCCAGCTGTGGAGGTGCCTACCCTAAAACTCTGCTATCTGGGCACACACTGAAAGTGCCAAGGCAGTTAGGGATGCATGGAGACCTTCCCAGCCAGAGAGCACTAGCCTCTGGGCCTGTGATTGCCCTGCTGGCTGGCTCTTAGCTGCAGTGAAGGGTGTTTGTATCCTTGTACCCCCCATTGGTGGCCCTCTCTGGCTTCTAGCCCTGGGGAGGGGTTTCTCCATCTCCTTCCTACATACAGCTAGGCTCATAGGGTGTCTTCCACAGCCTTTGGTCCTGTCTGCTTCCTACCAGCACTTTTCTGTGGCTGGAGACAGTGCTGGGACGAGGGTATGTGGGGATGGGTGTTTTTCTGCCACCAGGGGGCTGTGTGGCCTTAGGAGGGATGCGTCATCTGTCAGTGGGACCTCTCTCTGCCTAGGAGTCCTCCTCGTCACCAGGCTCTGTGTCTGCGTTCCTTCTCTCCCCGATCTGAGCCTCTCTTGCTCAGAACATTTGGGGTGAGGAGTCTGGAGGGCCAGGGAGGTGAACCAGGGGTAAGAGTGATGCCAAGCCCCTGCACAGCTGCTGCTCTGCCCCATGATAGGTGTCCTACATGTCCCCCACCCAGAGAGCTGGTAGTGCACTGTGACACCCAGGCTGTAGGAGTTAAGGTGGCACTAATACCACAGGTGTGGTGGTATAGTGGTTAAGCCATTGGATTGTTAATAAGCAGGTTGATGATTCAAACCCACCAGCCGCTCCATGGAAGAAAGATGGGGCAGTCTGCTTCCATAAAGATTTACAGTCTTGGAAACGCAACGAGGAGTCTCTATGAGTTGGAATTGACTCGATGGCAGTGAATTTGGTTTTAAATACCACAGGGACCCCCAGCCCCAGTGAAGCCCTTCCTCCTGCCTTAGCCCTTTTTCTCTCCCATCCTCCCGTCTCCCATCCCCCAGTGTTGAGGTGGGGTCTTTGCAGAGTTTGGAACCTAAACGTAGCCCCCAAAGCCAACAGAGCTGTTCCCATGCCCTCTGAGTCTGAGCTGGCCTGAGTGCTGCCTAGTGGGGCAGGGAGGGTCTGAGAAGGTATGAGTTGCTCCAAAGGAGCCCTGGTGGTGCAGTGGTTAAGCACTCGGCTGCTAACTGAAAGGTCAGTGATTCAAACCCACCAGCTGCTCCATGGGAGGATGATGTGGCAGTCCCCTTGCATAAAGATTACAGCCTTGGAAACCCTATGATGTAGTTCTCCTCTGTCCTTTAGGGTCTCTTTGAGTTGGAATCAACTCAATGGCAGTGGGTTAATGGGGTGGGTTGTTCTGGGTCACTGGGAAAGCTGTCACTTAGTCACCCTGTGTACTTTGCAAGCTAGGGCAGGGCTGCAGGGACTGGCACAGTGCAGGTGGCCTTCTTGTTCTGGGGATGTCTGCCTTGCTGACCTCTTAGATTCCTGTGGGGGGGACCCAGGGCTGGGACGGTCTATATTAGATTCCTGAGGCCCCAAAACCCACTGTCATTGAGTCTATTCTGACTCATAGCGACCCCCATTGGGTTTCCATGGCTGTAAATCTTTACAGAAGTAGCTTGCCTCATCTTCCTCTCACAGAGCAGATTCCTGGGGCAGCTATAATAAACTGCTACACATGAGATGGCTTAAAACGACTGAAATTTATTCTCTCGGTGTCTGGAAGCCAGAGGCTCAAGATCAAGGTGTCAGGAGGGCCCGGCTCTCTCTGAAGGCTCTAGGAGAATATTCTACCTGGTCTCTTCCAGCTTCTGGTGCCCCCAGGGTTACTTGGTTTGTGGCTGTATCACTCCAGCCTCTGCCTCCATCATCACATCACCACTTCTTTGTGTGTCTTTCCTTGTCCTTTCCTCTTCTTATAAGAACACGCATCATTCAATTTAGGGTCCTCATTTTAGTATTGGTTTTGTTGTTAGTTGCCATCTAGTCAGCTGTGACTCACGGCGACCCCATGTGCAACAGAAGGATTCCTGCCCGGCCATCCATTGCCTTCAAGATCATTGGTGTGTTGGAGCCCATTGTTGTGGTTATTGTCAATCCAGCTGATGGGGCACTTCCCTTGTTTTCACTGACTCTACTTTACCAATCAGGATGCTCTTTTTCAGGCATTGGTCTCTCCTGATGATATGTCCCAAGTACATGAGCAGAGTCTCTTCCTCCTCTGATTTGTTTGTTCTCCTGGCAGTGCATGGTATAATCAACATTTTTTTGCCACCACAGTTCCAATGTACCAATTCCTCTTCTGTCTTCCTTTTTATTTATTTATTTTTTCTTTTCTAAATTTATTATGGCTTAAGTGGAACTTGACAGAGCAAATTGGTTTTCCACTCAACAATTCATACATTGTTGTTTTGTTTTGTGACATTAGTTGTAATCTCCTCAATGTAACATCATTCTTCCCACTTGCTCCCTGGTTCCCCCATTTCCATTCATCCTTGTTTCCTGCCCCTTCCTGCCTTCTGAGCTTTGGTTTTCGGCAAATTCTGCTTTTTTGGTCTTATATCATCTTTCTTTTTCATTGTCCAACTTTCATGTGCATATTGTGGGACCATTTTGTATTGTTGTTAGGTGTCAGTGAGTCAGGTCTGATTCATAGTGACTCTATACAACAGAATGAAACATTGTCCGGTCCTATACTTTCCTGACAGTCCTTGTTTGAGCCCATTGTTGCAGTTACTGTGTCAGTCCATCTTGTTGAAAGTCTTTCTCTTTTTTGCTGACCCTGTGCTTTATCAGGGAGCTCTGGTGGTGTAGTGCCTAAGGCACTTGACTGCTAACCAGAAGGCTGGCAGTTCAAACCCACCAGTGATTCCTCGGAAGGAAGATTGGGCAATCTACTTCCGTAGTGACACCGCCTCGGAAACCCAGGGACGGGTTGCTATGAGTCGTATCTGACTTGATGGCAGTGAGTACTAAGTTTTGTGCTTTACCAAGCATGATGTCCTTCTCTAGGACTAGTCCTCCCTGATAACCAAAGTACATAAGACGATGTCTTACCATCCTCACTTCCAAGAAGCATTCTAGCTGTACTTCTTCCAAGATGGATTTGTTCATTCTTCTGGCAGTCCATGGTATATGAGGTGATTGAAAAGACCATGGCTTGAATCAAGAACACTTTAACCATCAAAGTGACATCTTTGCTTTTTAAAACTTTAAGGAGGTCTTTTGCAGCAGATTTATACAATGCAATATGTTGTTTGATCGCTTGACTGCTGCTTCCCTGAACATTGACTGTTGATCCAAGTAGAAGGAAATTGTTGACAACTTTATTTTTTTCTCCATTTATCATGATATCATGAACATTTTCGTTTTCTTTTTCAGTATGACCTCATCTCTTAATCCTTAACTAATTAACTCTGCAAAGGCCTATTTCCAAATAAGGCCACATCCTGAGGTTCCAGGTGGTCTCTGGGTTTGTTTTTGGTCACTATCCAGTCCACCAAGGAGCTCTGGTGGCATAATGCCTAAGGCATCTGACTACTAACCAGAAGTCTGGTGGTTCAAACTCATCAGCCACTCCTTGGAAGGAAGATTGGGCAATCTACTTCCATAGAGGTACCGCCACAGAAACCCAAGGGGGGGTCACTACGAGTTGGAATCAACTCAATGGCAGTGAGTTTGGTTCTTATTTTTGATCCAGTCTACCACAGCACCACTCCTCTCCTCCCTTAGAGTTTCCGCGTGGCCTAGGTCAGGGATTTCATGGATTATCCGGTTCTCCTTTAGGGCTTGTGGACCCCAGAAGAGAAGCCAACACTCCCCAGAGAACATTTTCTAGATATGGACTTAGGAGAACACTGTGTGCCCCAAGTTCAGTCTTGAACTTGGGCCGGGAGGGCTTTCATACACCTGGGTCTGCTCCAGCCTGCTGCTCCCCCCTTCTGGCCTCCCTGGGATCAGCACTGAGCCTGCCCAAGCAGGCCAGGCTAGAGTGGGAGGATGGGGCAGCTCAGGGCTGAGTGCTCATCTCCTCTCCTGAGCTGGCTCTGGTGGGTGTGCATGTGACCTCCAGGAGTATGGCAGGTGTGGCCCAAGAAAGAAGGTCTATGTCAGGAGATACCTGGGCTCCAGCACTGTGCTTGATGAGGTGGCCAGGTGACCACCCCCTTGCATGGTGGGACCATCCCCTGCACAGTGGGCTTGACTTCCCTCGGGCTGGTGTGGAGTGAGGTGGGCCTGCTGTTAATGTTCTGCTGTTTTTGCCCAGATGTGGACGAGTGCCAGGTACACAACGGTGGCTGCCAGCACAGGTGTGTGAACACCCCAGGCTCCTACCTTTGCGAATGTAGGCCTGGCTTCCGGCTCCACACTGACGGCAGGACCTGCCTGGGTAAGCATGTCTTCCTGCTCACTCCACCCCTCAACTCCGGGACCATCCCCACCCAGACTTTCTGGCCTCAGGTGTGCCAGGTCCAGGGAGAACCAGGGCCTGGCACTGCTTGCATGGTGGCCTAGCTGGGCTCTCACAGGGGGAGGTTGGCTCAGAGTGGCAATGACAGCAGTTACGTTGTACGTTGAACTCCTTCCACCAGGAGGCCCATCCTAGGGCCTCACCATGCCCTGCCAGGGTGATGCTGTCAGCCCATGGACAGATGAGAAAGCTGAGAACTCAGATGGGAGAACATTCCATAAGCAGGGCCTAGAGCCTGGTTTGGTGTGACACTGGGCTGCCCAGCCTTCCCTGAGGCCAGCTCCTTGGGCTAAGTTGCCCAGTGCATCAGCTCATCTGGGCCTCTAACTTGGGGAGGAGCCTGGCCAGGTGAGGCCCCCTGGATGCAGTGGCCTGGGCCGGGCTCTGTGCCCCTAGGACTCTAGGGAGCTGGGCCCAGCTGGGCGGGGGTGAGGATGGTAAGGAGGTAGTGAGAGTCCACCCCAGGCCTACAGAAATGAGATTCCCAGGCCCCCATCACCCACCTTGCACTGAGGGAACTTGAGAGGGTGGTATGGCAGGTGGTTAAAAAAAAAAAACAAACCAAACCTGTTCTGTCTAGTCAATTCCAGCCTACAGTGACCCTATAGAACAGAGTAGAACTGTCCCATAGAGTTTCCAAGGCTGTAATCTTTTTGGAAGTAGACTGCTGCATTTTTCTCCTACAGAATGGCTAGTGGGTTTGAACTGCCAACCTTTTGGTTAGCAGGCAACTCACCAGGGCTCCTAGGCAGGTGTTTAGGGGTTCAAGGAGCAGGTTCTGACCTTGCAGGCTCTCTGCCACAGTAAGTGGACTCAGTGGAGTCACCCAGGGTCACAGACTGGTCCTGTGGCCTGAGAGAGTTAAAGGGAGAGGGGGAAGAGTCAAGGCTGGAGGGCCGCTGAGGACAGGAGGGTATGGAGGGGACTGGAGACAGTCCCTCCCCAGCTCCAGCTGCCCTCCTGGCCAGATCTGGACACAAGTGCTGGGCACAGGGCACACCTTTTTGTGGGTGTCTGTCTGGGGTCATGCCCCTGGCCTGCAGACACTAGGCTGAGCTCTGTCCAGAGTGGAAGCCTGCTCTCTCCCCATCTTCCTCCCCCACTAGCTGGAGAGCACCCCTTCCTTCCACCCCAAACCTCGAGAGGGGACCATCTCCAAGTGCACCCCCAGTTAGCTTGCTGCCATATGGCAGGGTGGCCGGCCAGCCCCAAGGGGCCCTCCCCCAGCTCACATGTCCCTTTGCTGCGTGGGGAGCAGGCGACTGCCCGTGAAGCCTCTCTGGTGGAAAGTGGAAACAGATGCAGGAATGCAGAGCTGCCTGCAAGACAGAAAGCTGTCTGCAGCTGCTCCGGGGCTCAGAAGGGTTGGAGGACTTTGAGGGGGTGCTTCTTCGCCTTGGCACCTCTGGTCTCCGGAGAAGGCAGCTCCAGACCCTGGGGGAGGAGCAGGGCAGGTTCTTCTTGGAGAAGAGTGGCCCTGGGGGTGGGGGCACGGCTACCCTCACTCATACTGACCCCTGCTGTGAGGGTGTGGTCTGTGCCTTTTCCTATGCCCTGATGGTGGCTGTCACTGAGGCTTCCGAAAGGGAGAAGGACTTGGTTGGTGATGAGGGAGTGCCATGGAGAGGGAAGGGTGCCTTTAGGGCCTTTGCAATGACCAACAGTGGCTGCTAAGTGTGGCATTGAACTGCTGGCCTCTGGAAGCACAGGAGGAGTTCCCCTCCTGCCCCGCCCCCTCTCTCACCCCTCTGTCCACTGAAGCCACGCCCCTGTGCTTTCAGAGCCCTGATACATTGACAGTGGCATTTGCTTATTTTAAAAGGTTGTTTGAAAGTCGAACACCAAAGCTCCAGGCATGGTTTGCACAGCCCATGCATGTGGGCTGCTTAGGTCCTATTGCCTCCCCTGCCTCCTCTTTGGCCTCCTGAACGCTGGCCCATGTTCTGGGAATGGGTGTGCTTCCTGGGGCTCTGGGCCCTCAGAGCACCAGTGCTAGTGCTGCCTCCTGGCTGCTTTTACCGGTCGGGCAGGTGAGCTCACCTGTGCCCTCGCTGACGCTGGCCTGCTTTCTTCTGTGCAAGCCTGTGTGTGTCCTGGGGCTGCTGTGACAAAGTACCACATCCCAGGCAGACAAATAGACAGATAGACAGACAGACACAGATTGATGGCATTGAGTTAGCCTCGACTTACAGCCACCTTATTTAAGATAGAACAAAACGTTGCCTGGTCCTAAGTCACCCTCATGATTGCCAGCATGTTTGAATCCATTTTGTGGCCGTTATGTCAGTCCTTCCCACCAAAGGTCTCCCTTGTTGGTCCTCCACTTTGTCAAACATGAGGTGCTCCTCTAGCAGTTGATCCTTCCTCATGGTGTGTTGAAGCAAATGAGTCAGACCATACTCTGTTGTGATCCATAGGGTTTCCATTGGTTAGTTTTTAGAAGTAGATCACCAGGTCTTTCTGTCTAGTCTGTTTCAGTGTGAAACCACTGAAACCTGTCCACCATGGGTGCCCTGACACCCATGTGTATTTGAAACGCAAATGGCTTTTAAACAACAAGAATTGTCTGACAATTCTAGAAGCAAGTAGTTCCAATTCAGGTGTCTATAGGGCCATGCGGGAGCTCTGGTAGCATAGTGCCTAAGGCACTTGACTGCTAACCAGAAGGCTGGCAGTTCAAACCCACCAGCCACTCCTTGGAAGGAAGGTTGGGCAATCTACTTCCGTAGTGATACCACCTCGGAAACCCAAGGAGGGGTCGCATGAGTCAGGTCTGACTCCACGGCACATAACAACAACAACATAGGGCCAGGCGCTCTCTGAAGGCTTGGGGAAGACTCTTCCTTAACTCTCCCAGCTTCTGGTAGCCTCAAGCGTTGTTCTTTACCTTGCAGCTGTATCAGTCTCTGGCTGCCTTCCGCTGTATCTCTTTCTTTTCTTTTAATGATGCCAATCATAAAGAGACTAGAGCCTACCCTAATGACCTTAACTTACAACTTTATGGCTTAATTTATAATTTAACGTAGAAGTTAATTTATAACTTAACTAATAACATCTTCAAAGGTCTTGCTCACAGTGCTGGGGTTTAGGACTTCAACGTGTGTTTTTAGAGGACACAATTCACCCATAACTGTGAGTGTTTAGCAGGAGGGGCCGCTTTCACTTTCTTACTGTATCCCCGAGCAAGAAGTGTATGCGCCCAGAACATCCACACACCCACTCTAGAGTTTCAGGATCAAATGCCCTCACAATAGTGTCCTGCAGTTGGCACTTTTTAAACCACCCAAAACTACTGCCATCGATTCGATTCTGACTCATACTGACTCTATAGGACAGAGCAGAACTACCCTATAGAGTTTCCAAGGTTGTAAATCTGTACAGAAGCAAATTGCCTCATCTTTCTCCCAGGAGCAGTTGGTGGGTTTGAAACACTGGCCTTTTGGTGAACAGCCAAGTGGCTTTGACCACTGCGCCGCCAGAAGCTATTTCATTATGATAGGTTGCCAGTCACTTATATGAGCTCTGGTAGTATAACTTCTAAGCAGTTGGCTGCTAACTGAAAGGTTGTTGGACCAAACCCACCTATGGGGGTAGTTCTATTCTATCACATGGGTTACTATGAATTGAAATCAACTTGATGGCATCTAACAACCATAGTAGTATTAAAATAAAAATCATGTTAAGCCAATAATAGAAATTGATTGAAGATTATTTAATATGCTGTTATTAGGTGTCATTGAGTTGGTTCCAAGTTGGTTTTTTAATGGAGGATTGGAAAATCAGGCTAAATTTTGACTTGTTGCTGTTGTTAAGTGCTGTCCGGTTGGTTCTGACTCATAGTGACCCATGTGACAGAATAGGGTTTTCTAGGCTGCAATGTCCAATGGAACAAAACTCTGCCCAGTCCTGCACCATCCTCACAGTCGTGCTGTGTCTGAGCCCATTGCAGCAGCCACTGTGTCAGTCCGTCTCATGGAGGGTCTTCCTCTTTTTTGCTGACCCTGCTTTACCAAGCATGACGTTCTTCTGCAGGGACTGGTCCCTCCTGATAGTGTGTCTAAAGTACGTGACACAAAGTCTCGCCATCCTCGCTTCTAAGGCGCCTTCTGGCTGTACTTCTTCCAAGACAGATGTGTTTGTTCTTCTGGCAGCCCATGGTATAGTCAACATTCTTTGCCAGCACCAATAATTCAGATGCATCAATTGATTTGACATTTTGACTAGGGAGTCAAAAATTTTCCGAAGATGAGAAAACCTCCAAAGACTCTTATACCCCACCCCATCAACATTGTCATGGAAACAGAGCCAGAAGAGTGTTTTTATAATAACAATTTACCCTAAAATCATAGCTTCCAGTCATACCCTGGCATTCCTGTTTCAGGAAACTGCCTGCACATAGATAATTCTCTAAAAAAGGCTCAGTGCTTGTGGCAAAATGGTCTCCACTAAGCTGCTTACAGGGAGCTCTGGTAGCATAGTGCCTAAGGCACTTGACTGCTAACCAGAAGGCTGGAGGTTCAAACCCACCAGCCACTCCTCAGAAGGAAGATGGGGCAATCTACTTCCGTAGTGATACTACCCCTGAAACCCAAGAAGGGGTCACTATGAGTCGGGTCCAACTCCACGGCACATAGGCACGTAACAACAACAACAAGCTGCTTACAAGGAGCTTTGGTGGAGTAGTGCCTATAGGCATTTGACTGTTAACCAGCTGGTTGGTGGTTCAAACCTGTCAGTCACTCTCTAGTAGGAAGACTGGGCAATTGACTTCTGTAAATATTTACCACCTCGGAAACGCAAAGGGGGTCACTATGAGTTGGAATTGACTTGATGCCAGTGAGGTTTTTTTTTTTTTTTTTTTTTTTTTGGTTTAAGCTGCTTACAGGAGCTCTGGCGGCATAGTATTTAAAGCATTTGGC